GTTAATTTTATATATATTTATTTATTTATTTATTTATATCTTTTTATATATTTAAATAAATAAATAAATATTTATAAATATGTGTATATATAGGTCAAAAAATCTGATTTTTGAAATGTAAAAGTTGTTTTGTTATTTTTGAAATATGGTAAAGATAAAGTAGGGAAAGTGAATTTTTCCCTACCAAATATCCAAAGAGAGGGCAAAGAGTTTGGGCCTTAATTTCACTTCTCTCGAGGTCAGCCTTAAGGACACCGTTGAAAATCTCAAGGAGAAAAACTTTCTCAGCTTCTAACGTTACAATGTTGGCATTAATTTGAATGGCTTGCATCGTTGTGTTTGAGGAAAAAAAAGTGTGAAATTTTAATCTTCCGTGCAATAAAGAACATAGATGCTAATAAATCTTTGTGTGTTTCATTTCTTGCCTTTTCTAACACAATTCTATCTTTACTTTCTAATGTTTGTTTTCAAATTTCAATTTCTTTTTTGACGTAGCGCGAAACAAGGAATTCAAGCGAAGACCTAAGAATACGAATTTGGAATCCACCAAATTATGGAAAAAAAAAACTCTCGAATTTTATTGATAGTAAAAAACAATGAATTAACCAGTTATTTATAAGTATTTACCCCGAAACCTAGTTTAAATAAACTAAAATTACAAAGAATTTGAAATATATTAAATGACAAAAATAGCGCTAAACTTTAAAAGAAGCTTTCGAGTCCTAAACGAAGTCGAATGGACAAAATTGTATTATGGGTCCAAACCAGAACTCGACTACCGCACTTGCACTATTGCATTTTTTCCATTTCTGTCCAATTCTTTTTCAATCTATTCAGCCATCTATTCTACATTACTTCTTAATTTTTCCTTTTTGTGGTGTTATATATATAATCCCCCCGCCCCGCAATTGTTAAGCAAGATTACAAGATTCTTACAAATGAAATTCATCAAAAATCTACACAAAGAATTTATAGTTCTACTTCCAACACTCTGCATCTTTAATTACTTTGTAGTCTGGTCTTAGTGATAAAAAATAATAATACATGCAATTGTAGTTTATATTGGCTACAATTATAATGGATAAACTTGTTGGTAGAAACGGAAGTCAACATCACAAAAATTAACCTATGATTGCAAAAGTTCTAGGTGTAAGATTTAATTATTTTGTGAATTTAAAAAAATATAAATAATTTTATTTTAAAATAAAATATACAGGTATTTAAGAATTATCCTTATAGCGTACTTTATGAAAATTCGCTTGACGTTGTTCTTCTTGATTTCACATTCAAATCCTATGTCTTTCTCAGTTTTTCTTCAAGAACTCAATATTGCAAAAAGATATTGCGTGTGATCACAATAATAAAATCACATCTTAAAACATTGACACATGTGCCTATATGCGATATAATTTGAATATAATTTGAATATGGAAACAGTCCATAAACATAAAAGAAACTTTTTGCTTTCTCTTGGGACGCGTTTGATTGTGAACAAGAAATTTGTATGAAAAGAAAATAAATTCTAAGCAATTCAATTGCCTAATGGTCCGTTTGATTGTGATGGTGAAAAATTGTTGGAAAAAAAATGAATTCCAAGGAAAGTAATTGCCTAAAAATTGTTTTGCATAGAATTGTTAAGTGTGTTTGATTGTTATAATTTTTCACCCGAAAAATTTTTAAATTTGAGGAAATTACACCCACACCTGATTTTAAAGTACCATTTTCATAAATC